GGAAAAAGCAATTTGGCCACAGACGTCCGACTTGCTTTTTCCCGGGCCTGGAAAAAACAATTTGGCCACGCGCCTTCCATTTTGCTATTTCCCAAGGCTTGTCGTCGTGGTTGAGGCCGCCTTCTGTCGTGCTTGAAGTTGCCCTGTTGTCTTGGTTGAGGTTGCCCGCCCTTGTCGTGGTTAAGGAAACACATGTGGTTAATTTGCCAATTTTCCCGTGGTTAACCAGTTAACCCATGTTAACCCCGAGTCTCGTGTTTTTGCTGTTCACCATCGGAGCCCTTCTAGACGACCGGAAGACGTGTCAGGATCGTGTTAATTTGTTTATTCCTTTTTTGGGGGGGAAGCCGGTACTTCCGAAGAGAAGGACACTTGTTAGACCCTACTTCCTTTGAAAAGAAGGCCTTTGAGTGATACATACCCCAGTCGTGCGGGAGTTTTGGGTTTGTCACATCGCACTCAGGTTGAATTTCGCTCGAAGAACGGATGCAAACACTGATGCCAGCTGACCTGCCCGTTCTTCTCAGGTAAACATTTTTTGTTTCATCGCCATCAATGCCCAAAGTATCAGCGTTATCGCAGTATACCTTGAAGAGAAATGCCTTTGAGTCTTGGTTACCCCCAGAACCTCTGCTTTCGAAGCAGGTTTCAGAACGTTTGAGAGCACCTCGTCTCAGGACTACCTGGAAAGCAAGTCCTACAAACTCTTCCGTCGCCTCCGAAAATCGGGCAAGCTGCACCTTGGTGTTCTTGGGCGTTCGTGCGCGGCTGTGGTGCTCCGTCTCCAATTCCGGGGTGAACCCCGATTCCGGATCGGATGGGTCATGGAGGGGCCAGCGCCCGCTGCCGATAGGTTTTTCGATATGAAACCTTCTTTTCTTGACGAAAAGAACCTAACACGTTGGTTTTTTGGGAAAGGTCATGAAGGGTCGGTCCTGGCGCCTGGGAGGAATTGAAGTTCCATGCTCTGGGTTTTTGGGGGCCATGGCTTCAGGGCGCCCGCGTTTGGATGTTCGTCGCAGCGTTATGGCTTCAGAGCTGTGGCCATGGCTTTGTCGAAGCCTCACCATGTTCTTGATGATCCGTGGCTTTGGTTGAAGCCTCACCATGATGCCTGGGAGAAGCAGGTGGCCGATCTGGAGGCAGATCCGCGACTCTACTGAGGGTGACTCAGGGCTCTCTTCCTGGGTCTTGGTGTTTGTTGTGCTTGCCTGGAGGAAGCTTGAAAGAAAGGTATGCTGTATGCTTGTGGTCTTGTGTGTGTGTGTGTGTTTGGGTCTTTTGTCTGGTTTGGCCTGATCCTTTTCAAGATGTTTGTACTCCATTTCAGGGTTCTCTTCGTATATTTTTTCAAACAGCAACATTGCAAGATTCACCACAGCGGGGGGAAAGCTTCTGATGCATAAGAATGCTGAGACGTGGAACATGCCTCAGTCAAGGGAGAGAGTTTTGAAGGTAGTACTTGGAAGTTCGCACAAAATCACTGGCTGTCGGGCTGTCGGTGGCTCTCCGGTGTAGCTGGGCTGGTGGTACTGTAGCATGATGTAGCATGTGGTAGCTGGACTTCTGGCGGAACTTAAAGACTTGGGGAGAGAAGTCTCCGCCCCGGCGAGGGTCACAGGCCCCTCGGCCTTGGCTTTCGGGAGAAGTGCTCCCCTCAAATCCGTTGAAATATGCCCCGGCCTCAAACGTGTATAGAGACAGGGTCTCCCCCTCACCGTTTGGGGTCTCGGCCTCAACTGGGAGACCCTCGGGCGTGGCCTTTGGTACTTGCAGAAGAAGTTCTTCGAAGTCCCTCCCTCTACAAGGGTGGGCATTCCTGTTGGTGGAAAAACTCGACCATTTCCCATCTCTGATGTTTCTCTTGAGAACTCCTCCACTGCGTTTTGAACTGACACACCTCAGCCTACCCAACTCCGCCCACCGCGATGGCAGAAGCTCGTTCACTCTGAGCTGAAGAGATTGCTGAGTCCCGCCTTGTTCGTGGCACGGAGTGTTGCTTGACTTGGGCTACTGTGGGACTGGACTTGTGAAAAGGAACGGGGAGCAGTCAGAGCAACCCACTGACAAACCCACTGCCAACCCCCAAATAACACCCTAAACTCTTGGGTTTGTGCCATTTATACACGCGGCACCACGGGGTGTGTGTTGACCGGTCCCATCCGATCACGTTTTGTCCACACGTTTTGTCCACCCGCTGCTGCGCCACTCCGGGCTGCAAGCATGTGACAAAGAGGATCCAAAGAGGATAGAGCGCCCCTTTGGGGTCTGTAGAGCCTTTGCTTTCGGGCCCGGCCCTTTTTGGGGGGGCCCTGTTTCAGGGTGGGGAAATCAGACGCCACGTTGGTTTCGGATTCCATCAGCAAACGTCACCGGCTTATCGGATGCCGAGTTTTACAACTTTGGCTTGGAGCTTTGTGATCTTTGTGATCTGCAAGGCGCGTACCAGCGACACTGTACGACCGTGACCGCGACCCCGTACGACCGTGACCGTGATGAGATGGAAGATGGTGCTGCCTGCAGCTGAGATGGAGATAGAGATATTCAATGGTGCGAACTCGGGAGATGGGATGGTCTTCCACTGCATGGAATTTCCATCGCCCTACATTTTGGCTGTCAGTTGGGATTCTCGTCTATGTCCTGCTCCTTCACAGAGGAAAGTGTCCCTTTTCGACAATGAAGCCTAAAGCTACAGTCGATTGAGTTCTAGTCAAAGAGCGAACCCAGCACTGTTTGCCCAGAAAGTGTGTGTTACCAATACCATCCAATACCATCCAATACCCCAATCAATCATTGAATCATCAGTTGACCTCCGAATTTCAAATCAGACGATCAATTCCGTCATTGGCCGTACGATCGGCTAAACCGATGGATTACTTGATCTTCCAACCCCCTCTGCGATGACCCCCTATGAGCGATATTCAGTGACCATTCTCTTGATCTTGTGACAGAATCGGCGACGTGCCGCGATCGATGAACGATGTTTGCGCGCTTGGCCGGCGAACGTCGACGGACGGACTGGCGGCGCCAGACTGGGGAATGGGTATCTTGCCTTTCGAAAGAAGCTCTGAGGACAAGGACGAGGCGTTCCCCGCGCCGACTGATCAGCCGGGGTCAGGATCGGAGAGGAGAGTGCTGAGAGGATGCCGAGAAGGTCTTTCACTTTTGCAATCTTTTGCCGAATCCACATGGGCTATGAAAAAGAATGTATTATTACGTAACAGTGTAACACACACATTCAAATTGCATTAAATTGTACAGGGGATAAGGTGTCCTGTGCAGGGTTCATGGTGGCCCCATAAGGAGTTGGAAATTGTCGAAAGCGGAAATAGAAAGGGGACTCGCCTACAGTCACTATAGTACAGACACTACTTGAATCTACTTGCCATAATTGTGGGATGCGGAACCTGTAGACCCTGGACAGCCTGCCCCGAACGGCTTAAACCGTTTGAAAGCGGTTCCGAAGTTCTCCCACACTTTTGCTCGGAAAGTCTTCAGAAGTCTTATATAAATGCATCAAATAGCGCTTGTCTGGTTCCACGGGGCATGAACAAACATCGGCCCTTAGTGTTCTTTTTCGTGACATCTTGTGGAACACGGTCACTGGTCAGTGCCCATCTCCTGGTCACACTGGTCACTGGTCCCGGTGTCCATCTCCTCCCCGTCCTCCGTCCTCACCGGTCCTCCCCGAGCGTCCAGACGCTGGAAACGCTCCAGCTGGTCACTCGGGAGCGCCTTTGGTCGCGAACCGAACGCCGTGGGTTTCCACGGACCGGTTAGACGACGACGACGCCCCCGTTGGGACCGGGTCTTTTTCTTTTGGGACACCCTGGTATCTGCCTGGTATTTGCCTGGTGCTGGATCCATTTTTAGCCAAGATTCCCTAGCTAACGATGAAATGATATGAAATGGTTTGGGAAACGGGCGAGATCGTATGAGTCACACATGTGTGCACACTTCTTCCAAAGACGGCAGCAGTTCTTTTGTTTCAGATTGGAGCATAGATATTTGATGACTGATCGTATGAATTGCATGTGATGCCATGCCTTCTTTCTGAAATGAGAGGTGCCACTTCTTCAAACATGCCATGCACCTGCCATGAGGGATGCACCGTTCACGAAAGCCGTCCGTGGGACCACCGTGGGACGGACATCTGCCCTTCGCTCGCTGCACGCGAGAAGTACAAGAAGAGGACGCTCAACGGTAAACTGTTTGGGGGGGGAAATGAATCGGGTTTGCACACCAGATGATTTGTACTCACGTAGATGTACACGATGTACAGTCGGCCCAACTCTTGATCTGAGGTTGGCATGCTTTTCCTGCTTCACATCAGCCACTGGACCGGGGATTTTCGTCCGCCTGGACCGGGGTTGGCAGTGGACGAGTCCTTGACGTCGAACGGAGCGGTCAGGGCATCGCGAACCGAGTCCGGAGCGATCGGACGCTACGCACGGAGCTCTTGGCCTTACTACTATAGGAACAAGAAGCTACTAGAAGCTTTTTGAGGAAGAGATTCGTGTGACTGCCTGCGTGAGCTTTTTAAGAGCTTTTCGAGCGCTGGGAAGAGTTGGGGACGATGGAACAGTGTTCCCTTTGGCTGCGACGGAGGTCGCTCGGTGGTCACAGCCAAAGCCACCGACATTCTTGGGCAAGATTGACAAACTCCCCCCCTTGCAGATTAACAGTTTTCCAGTCTCCTGATGTGACTAATTTTCGTGACTTCATGGTTCAATATATGTTCAACATTGTTCAACTAGGGAGATCTCCCAGTTCGACCCCGAACAGTTGAGCCATAGAGTCGACCCCCTTGTGGACCAGTCTCCAGACATCCACGGTCCACGGACCGTCCACGGGACCCGAGGACATCGGTCCGCGGTGGCACCGAACGAGGTGCCGAGGTGCCATTTTCACCACACCCAGTCGATGAGTTCTCTGAGGTTTGCTCTCTTCTGCCAAGCGTGGCCACTGAGCTTTTGCTCTCAAGCAACTTGACTCCACTTGACTGGCTTCTCTTTTGTGTCATGTTTTTTTGGAGCCTTTCACCATCCTGGATGGGAAAATGGAAGAGAAGAAACCCGGTAGGAACGTGGCAATTCTTTGGAGAGTCCAATTGTTAACTGACTGGCGTGGGAAATATCTACTTGAGGATCATCACATATTCACCGGTAATTATCATAACCATGCGCGCTAAAAGAGAAAGGCGGTCATGTCTATTCTGAAGCGACGATGCATTTCTTGACTGCAATGACACGATTCTTGGCAAGGAGAACTACATATAGTCATGGACCATCATGGACCGGTATTTCTCCTGGCTGTGTCACTCCTCTGACTCGTCCGGTGAAAGCGCGTGGCTCAGAAGCACCCCTCCTTTGGAGCACGAACCGAAACCCGTGGAGCTGAAACTCAGCGGTTGGAGCTGATCTCGGCCCACAGTAGGGAGACTCAGGTTCCCTTTGGTGTGAGGAAACGTCTTTCTCTTTTGGGGACAACACCACGGCTGGAGGGCGCTCTGCTGTATTCTTTCATTCGGCACTCTAATTTGTTGAAAGGTTCTACCAAGAACCTTCGGTGCAGACCTATGAGACCTTCCCCCAAACTTCATGACTTAACTGAGGCGTAACTATTGGGCCCTTCTCGAGCTTTACCTTCGCCCTGTTGCTTGAAAGCAAACAGTGTTGGGATGTGAGCATTATATAATATATATATATACGTGTACACTTATAATAATACATTTATATGCATACATATACTGATAGACTTAATATAACTACTTGGGTCCGCCGGGCGTAGACGGCCGTGTGGTTTCGGGACCATTTGTTGTTTGTTGAAGAACGCTTCTTTTATTGAAGTTACATTGGGATTAGCATTTCTGTGGTCGTTCAGGGGTCTGGAAGCAGAGTTCTGCGTGTTGGGAACTTTGGAAAAACTACTTTGCATCCACATGATTGATCTGAACTCAGCTGCCTTTTGTTCGTCGACGGAGCGTCAGAACAACTTGCTAATCTGTACAAGCACTTCGTCTGCAGAGAGGTTTCGCAGGCAGTGCACTCGCCACACTAATTGGTAAAGCATCAGCTGGATCTTTGGGTTCGTGACACTGAAGTGACGAGCTTTGCTGCCTTTTCTGGCACGTGTGCAATGGAAACACATTTGCGGATAAATGGATTCCTCTTGGTTATCTATTGAAACCGTTCCTTGCTAAATGACATTCTGCCACCCTACAGGCATCCAGAGGTGATGACCTCGGCTTCGCTGGATCCATGACCTCACCCTATAGGCATCCAGAGGTGAAGGCTTAAATTCCTCTGTTCTTTAGAGCCCTCCAACGATGCCTTCGCTTGATCTATGACCTTGAGCCTCCGATTTGAAAAGCTCTCGAAGCTTCTCCTTGATGAAGGACGGATGGTCTCCAGTAGCACTGTCATATTCGTGTTCCTGCCAGCGACCGCATCAACGCATTCAAGAATCCACACTTTGGGCCGCAGGTGCTTGATCGTCACAGCCACGAAAAATGGCTGAGAGTTGTTGTCCAGGAAGCCAGCTCCAAGCCCCCCTCCTCAAATCCACAAAATCCAGAAGTATGTATTCATACTGACTGTAAGTCATCCAAACATGCCACACATGCCATGCCGAACATGCCACAAATACCACCCATGCCACATATACCCACATGCTGACATTCCAATTTATAAGTCAACTTGACATAATTACATTTCCAGGCCTGGACCAAGGGGTGCAAGGAAATCCTGCTCCATATACATCACACTGCAGAACCTCCTCCCATTGATTCGTGAGCAAAGACTGTTGTCCTGGGACAAGCTGCGCTTCACCACATCCCCGCACAGCATCTTCAGACTGTCGTTGCGGGTCAACTCTTGACACGTTGGATCCTTGTCCTGGGGCAGGGCACACAGGCAAACCAGGACCAAGGGTGATGGCCTCATTTGAGCTGCTGCGCATCTCATCGAAGATTGGACCGTGTGCCCCGCTGTTCAGTCGAAACTTAAACAGACCAGGGAACACACGAAATCGAACATCAAAGGCGCCTTAGGGCCAATGATTTAAACACACAACTATTCGCTGACAATGTTATGTCGATTTGTGGATGACAATGTTGTGACATTGATGACAATGTTGCGATATCGATGACAAACAACAAGTATTGTAAATACCATGCATTGTCTACACAATTGCTCAAAACCATGAAAACATGAAACATACCATAGAAAATGCTTTTTGCAAATGCGACGCTCTCCCCAGTGACACACGGAAAGTGCTGTAAATACCACGCGGAATTTGCAATAAAGTAGTCGAAACGCCACGGCCGTCTACGTGCGGAGGTCAACTACTTACATCTTTTCGTTCGGCTTGTTGCTGTACAGCTTATTTTGAACAGCTTTCTGGTAGACTGATCTATGGGTCAATGGGTCTTTATGGGTTTATGGGTCGATCAAGATGGTGTGGAAGCGGCTTTGGGTGACTCCACCGGTCGTGTCAGCAGCTCAATGAGAAGAGCAAGCTCAAGAGCCGTGGGTTGCAGAAGCCTTCGCCTCCCAATGGCATGGTCTACATGGCCCGTTCAACATGCTCAGCATGGGCATGCTGAGTGTGGCAGCCTGGCACATGAATAAAAGTATCCAATGTGTAGCAGAGCATAGTCCAAAAGACACCCATGAATGACACTGGACATGACGATGTGCGAACAAATACACATAGCACACGTACACCATTTTCAAAAGCAAGCATGGACAGTCATGGAACATTTTTGGGGAATGGCGTGCTTGACCTGTATAGGTTCAGTGTTCGAATATCTCTTTCCAACAAACAATCGCTTCCTTGAAAAGATCCCCACCGTGGCATTTACTCCATGGCGCGTGCAGATCCACCCATGCGGCATCATAGCTCACACGACTGCTGGTGCCATATGCCAAACTTGGCCTCTAATTTCTTCAGGCAGAATGAACATGATGTCTCCATGATAAGTGGTGCTGGGAGGCGCGTGGCACACATATATGCGCTGGTCACCAACCCAACTCAGCTCATAACGCCAAACATGAACAGCGCCTGCCCGCGCGAGCTTCCGTCCCAATGAAACTCGTGACCGGATGATGGTCCATGGCCACAACCTTTACAGGACATAGGAACCACCTCCAAAGCTGGCTGGTGCGCCATGGAATGCAAGCAAAACACTTCTCGAGCCATGTCGCTTTCAAAGAGCAAATGCTCAGTGACACCATCCTTGCCGTGTGGTGTACATACTTGCTGTGTGATGTTGCCTGTGTCCCAAGCCTTTTTAGAAACAGCTGCTTGAGCGAAGAATGACAATTACCAGATGTGACTAACATTCTTGCAAGCAGATGCACTTGAGTGATCACCCCAACAAGACAGTCACATCAGAGAACACATAGTAACATATAGTAATTAGTAATCTACAAAGAGCTGGCGTTTGAAGTCGGGCCACGCGGCCCTCGCGGTTGAGGTCCGGCGGAGCACTGCCAAGTGGACCGACCTCGCGGTTGAGGTCCGGCAGGGAAATTGCTGCCAGAACACTGCCATCCTGCACTTGCGGTGGAAGTCCGGCGGGGAACACCGCCATCCGGAGCTGGCGGTTGAGGACGACGCGGAGGCGGAGGCGGAGGCGGAGGCGGAGGCGGAGGCGGCGGTGGCGGAGGAGGAGGAGGAGGAGGAAGGCAGCTGACAGAAAATCCATCCCGAAAAGCTCCGGCGAATCGGAGAATCGACGTTGATGGCGACCTGTTCACCGCCTTTCGCCGCCCAGGAGCGCCGGCAGTGCCACGGTGATGCTGCTGATGGCGCCGTACCTGCTGAAGCTTGCTACACTGAGGGAATTGGGCGCAAGAGGGTGGTTACAAAGGAATACAAGGACGGCTTGGGAGATCGGGAGACCTATCAATCTATTAATCTAGAGCTGTGCTTTTAAGCATTGGAACATGGGACAGTACCCTTGTTGTGTTTTCGGAACTGATGATTGCAGCATGTGTGCTTTTTCTGAGCTTGCATTGTCCTTCCCCATGATTTGAGGCCTGTTCCTTCAGTTCATGACATCATGGGAAATAGCATGAAGTAACAGTAACTGGTCACCATTTCCAGTCCAAAGGTTTTTCGGAATCTTAGCGCCTTCATCATCGTCCCTTTCGGGTGGACCATTGTCGGATTGTTTTTTTACCTCCCAGGTGACATCGACTCCTTCTGGTCCGAGAGAACGGTCAGAAATTGGACATGTCTTCCCAACCCCCATGCACAGGACCGACCGTCGCGGCCGAACAAGTCGAGGAACCGGCATCCAGATGTGGGACGGAGACAGATCTTCCATGCAGCTGGGCGGAAGGAAGGTCAGTCCGATTTTTCCCGACCAACATGAAAACTGGTTGGCACCCTGCCGGGATTTGGTGCTCTGTTTTTCTGGTTGGTGCCCCTTCGTAATGGCGGAACAAAGAGGCGTCTCCGGAAGAAGACGCTTACCTCCCTCATTCCCAGCAAGCCGCAGCCATCTGTTTTTGGCTAGGCGGCAGCGGGTGCCAGTGCGTTGGCGGGGCTTGGGCAGGCGGGTGCCACGCAGGGGATGGGGATGGGAGACAACGAAAGAAAGAGTAGTGTAGTGAAGTGCAGTGTCTCCTTTCTAAGAATGTTTCCACAGAGCTTCCACTAGTGAACCTGTCTGAGCGCCATTTAAGTTGTACAGAGGATGTTCAGTTTTAATGTTCCGACAGCCCCGGCACAAAATGTCAAGCTGAAGTGGGAAGGGGGGCCAACCTACGTCAAAGCAAAACTAAAGACCAGGACATCCTCTCTTCCTCTGGAACTACCCCACACCTCATGATGTTGAGTGGTTTTGTTGTCTTCCAAGTTTGGAGGGGCCACAGGCCTGGTACAGCTTAGGAGTCTAGTATGGGTGGGAGGGAGGGACCAGAAGCATTGGTTGAAAAGGTGTAGGGCCAACATCCATGATGCGCCACTTGAGTTGTAGGATGTTTTGGTTTGTAGGATGTTTTGGTTGCGGAAACTTATGTGGCTCAGACACAGGCAGAGAGAGAGAGAGAGAAAGAATGAAAAGAAATAACGAAAGAAAGAAAGAAAAGAAAGAAAGAAAGAAAGAAAAACATAGACAGAAAGAAAGAAAGAAGGAAGGAAAGAAAGAAAAAAGAAAGAAAGACAGAAAGAAAGAACGAACGAACAGATAAGATAAGATAAGATAAGATAAGACAAGACAAGACAAGACAAGACAGAAAGAAAGAAAGAAAAACATACATAAAAAAGAACGAAAGAAAAGAACAGATAAGATAAGACAAGATAGACAGAAAAAAATAACAGATACGATAAGATAAAATAAGATAAGATAAGAAAAGAACAGGAAGAAAAACAGACAGACAATAAGAAAGAGAAAAACAGAAAAAAAGGAAAGAACAGAAAATGAAAAGACAAGAAAAGAAAAGAAAAGAAAGAAAGAAAGAAAGAGAGAGAGAGAGAGAGGCAAAGACAAGAGAGTGTGAAAATAGCCCATTTTTGAGCAGGTGAGTTTACCCTTCAGTTCTTTTTTGGGGGCGCGCGGTCGACGGCGAACACGAAACGAACAATCCAAGCAGCATGGCTGTTCCAGCCTGGTTTGCCTTCAACAGCCATTTGTTCAATTGCGCGCGCAAAAACCACGACAAGCGCGACAAGGGTTTTGTGTTTTGTGTACTTGTCAAGGGACGAAGTTGGAGAGCCAGTGCGGGTGGCACATGGTGGCACACTTCTAGGCCGGTTGGATGGGTTCGCTGAGAGGTGCTCTTCTTAGTGCTCAACCAGCCAGCTGTGGTGCACTTCTACATCTTGCCCAATATCATGGTGATGGACCTGTTCAACGGCATGTGCCGTGGACCAGACAATGAAGAACGCGTTTTTTTTGTCCGATATTCCAAAGCTCTTGGAAATTCCAAGCAACTCAAACAGCGTGAGTGCCCGAGTGCCCGCCCCGAAGTGGTGAAACATCAGTGAGACAAATCAAAACCACTTGACCCAATGATAATATATATATATATATGTCAAATTTTATTAGACCACTTTAGATCTCGAGAAGGAAAACATCCCCAATGGCCTGGCCTAAACCATTGATTTTCACTCGTCTGGTGGTGGTACCGACACCGGGGACCCTATGGGGTCCCAAGCCACAGGCACCCAAGCCACAGGCACCTCGGACCTGAACAAAACACCCTTGAACAAACAGGTTCAAGCACCCTGGCCACCCTGTTTTCGATTAGCCACGCAGTGAAGCATCAGGGCCCCCCGCAGGGAGAACGATCGAGATGCGTTCTTTTATTTCTTCCCGCTTCTCCCACCACCCCCAAAAACCACGGAGATCCCGATCCAAATGAACGGTTTCCCCCAAACAGGGTGATTTTGTGGTGATCGATTTGTGTTCGGTCTGGACGAGTTCCGATCGCGACCGAAGCACACGGCGTTCTTCGACCGAAGCGCATGCGGTCGAGCCGTCGAGGTGAACATGAATGCCGAGAGTTGCAGAACACACGCGCCGTCGGGCCGTCGGGTACTGCTTTTCACGCCTCAAGAGTTGTAGACACCACTTGAGCACCAGTTCAGAACAGACTCCAACAGCCAACGATGCGAGAATGGAACTTGAAACCTGAGGCAGAGTCCCTTCGTGGCAATGCATATGCTCGTGCACCTCTGGCTGGGTTTTCAGGGCCGGAGAACAAGGGCGTCTTCGACTGAGTGGACGAAATGATTCAAATCGGTGTGTGAGTCAAAGTGCAAGATGCAATGTACCATTTGTGATTTGTTGCTTGGTTTTGGTGTCGGTTGCCTAGGTTGGCATGGTTAGTGGACGAACTGGGGATGACGCCGCTCGGGATCAAAGGCCCCCCCATGTCATCGTAGATCAGTGCTGACCTTGTCGAATGGTGGGAAACTGTCCAGCTTGCTACAGGTTTGCTGTCGGAGCTGCCACGTGTGAGAACTCAGAGGTGGTAGCGGAGCTGCAGATATGAGCAATGCTCCAGGAGGACCGACCAAACACCACGAGAAGGTGCGGTTGGAACGGTTTGACGGGACTGAGCCATCGGGTTACAAGCGGTGGAGACGCAAGGCTGAACTCATCTGTCAGCGCTGCCCACAAATTTTGAGACGTCAAGGTGGGGTCCAAAGCTGTGTGAGTACGTCAGCGGAGAGGCTGAAGAGCTCATTGAGCATATTTCAGCGACTGACCTTTGCACAGATGATGGGTACAAGAAGGTTCTTCTGGCCCTAGATGAAAAATACTTGACCTGCAAACAGGAGGAGATTCAGCATTACTTGAAAGAGTACTTCTACAAGTGCTTCATTAATACAGACAGTTTGCAATGCGGTGGAAATTGTGTATCGCCATCTGAAAGAACACGGGATGGAGCTTCCAGCGGAGATCAAGGGTTGTTTTCTCTGCTTGAATGAGACGCAGGAAGCTTTGGTGCTTACTTCGTCCAATGGCAGCCTGAAGCACAAGGATGTTCTTGAGGCTGTAAGTCGAGTGTTGCCAGAAGGCAAGTGTTCAGTGGCTCCTCGTGCAAAATGCATCTCCACGGTGGAGGATGGCGACCATGCAGGCTGGGTGAACACTCAGTCAGAGGTCTTCGAAGTCACGGACTCTGTGAATGATGTTTTTTGAAGCGATTGCTGAATATGTGCAGGATCATGATGGTGACTATGAGGATGGGCTAGAGGTCTTCAAGTCCTATTCGGAAATTCGAAGGAAAGTGCAGTCACAGAAAGAAAGTGGCCAGAGGCTTCAAGCACTAAGCAGCCTTCAACTACGCAGCAATGGCGGTTGGTTGGATCAATGCAGGCGAAGATTCAGAAGATCAAAGGGAAAACGAAGTGTCATATCTGCCAGAGAACAGGTCACTGGAAGAGAGAATGCCCTCATCGAGACAAAGGCAGTGGCAGTACGGGACGCATCAGCAAGCCAGCGTCTGCGACCAGCAAGAAGAGTTCATATGGACCAAGTGGTCATGAGACAATGGTGGCAGACTCTGACGACCACGACAGCCGTGCCGCAGGCTAGGGTTCAAGCAAGCAGCAAGAGGCATTTCTGTCAGAAGCTTTCTTCATAGATGAGAGCATTTCGCAGCTGGACGAGTTGCTAGACGAGAATGACAGTCGAGCGTACAGGGGGGGACCCTTTTTTTTTCGAGAGTTTTTGGATGAGCTTTGGATGACATTCCGAACGCGAGTGAGGCATACATAGGCGAGCTGGAGGAGTTGTGCAGCTTAGATACACATGGGGTTCCAGACACTGCTTGTAGGAAGACACTTGTAGGAGAATGAGTTTTGAAGGGCATCGAAACGGAGTTGAACAAACGGAGCATGAAAGCTAGGTATGTTTATGAGCCGAATGTTTTCCGACTTGGGAACAGTCAATCCATGAGTACTGACATGAGTGTGTTGATTCCGGTTCGCTTCGGTTTGAAAACCGTGATCGTGAAAGCTGCTGTGCTTCCGAAGTCGTGCGCTCCACTGCTGCTTTCGAAGGAGTTTTTTGAAGCAGTTGGGTGCCACCATGGATTTGTCCACCAATGAAGTGTCATTTGAGAAACTTGGGGTTACGTTTCCTATGGGGACCACTTCTAAGGGACATTATGCCATTCCTTTGTTTGAGTCACCCCTTAAGCGAGTGTTCAGGAAGACGCACAGAAAGCACACAAACAATGAACATGACAACCCAAGCAGCGACTCGAAGGAATGTCGCAACACACAGCTGCACCCAGACGGACGCAGCGACACAGTGTCCGCAGCTTTTCATCAGGCCTCAAGCACCAACACACCAGTTCGCGTCGCTCCAAGCCCATGCAGAAGATGTCAAGCCCTTACCAGGCCGGTCAGAGCTCATCTCCGTGGCCAGCAGGAGGAAGCCCTCGAGAAATGAGCCAGGAAGCCAATTCGCTGGACAACTTTCCGATCAGCAAGGAGACGAGCAAGGAGACGCCAAGCGACTTGGAAGCCTTCTCCTGACAACCGGAAAGTTCAAGGGCGAGTTTCAAGGAGTGTCTCCGGCTCAGGGCAAATTCGAACATCGCCTATATCTGGAGCTGCGAGATGCTGTGAAGGGACAAGGAATGCACCTTCATCAAATCAAGATGCAGCAGAAGCAAACAGCCGCAACCTCGAGCGAAGAGCCAACATCTCCCGAGACGAGCCTTTAGACCTGTTCGTTGTTTGTGACGGCGTTCAGCATGAAAGTGACAATAAACAGTGTAAATATGATGATGTGATGGAAGTGTTTTCAGTGCCTCGTATAACTGCTACGGCAAAGCGTATGTCAATGCGAGCTGATCACGCTTTCGATCTGAAGCTCGGCTGCGATCTTAGATCTCAAGCGGCCCAGAGAACGGTCATTGAAACGATTCACATAAAAGAAACCTAAACTGGTGGTGGTGTGTCCCCCGTGTAAACTTTTCTCCGTGTTGCAACGGTTGCGGAAAAGTAAGGGGTTCGAGTATGAACAAGCTCTCCAAGGAACAACTTTTGTCTTTTGCTATGGAAGTGTGCGCAACACAATGCGGGGCGCCAGTTTTTGTTTGAACATGCCTTGGAGCGCTGAATCGTGGTCGGAGCAGTGTGTCAAGGACATTTTGAACTTGTCTGATGTGTGCTGCGTGTGTGTGATCAGTGCGTGCATGTTTGGCCTCCATGATGCTGAGACCGGAAAGTTGCCTAAAAAAAGCCAACAGGCTGGATGACAAATTGTCGTGAAATTGCTGAGAGGCTTGCGAAGAGGCGTGATGGGAGTCACTCACATCAGCTAATTTCCTGGAACAGTGAAGACATCCAATGGCTGGAAGAAGAGGAGTGAACTTGCTCAGCGCTATCCCAAGCGGTTGGTGCATGCCATTTTGGCCGGCTTGTTGCAGTATAGTATAGTATAGTTGACGATCGAAAAACAAGTTGCAGTCTCAAGGGTGTATGCTGTTGAAGTGTTTTCCAAAGAAACCGTTGGTGCGACCATCATGCAGGCATTGAAACGATGGCGCGAGAACCTTGGACATCCGTCCAATGCTTGAATGATCGCCTTGCTGAGATCAGCCAATGCCAGTGAACAAACAATCAAACTTGCCAAGGGACTCAGTTGTCCCGCCTGTCAGACTAAGGTTTCTCCTTCAACTCCCGCGATCGCTCGCCTGAAGCGCACGTGGGAGTTTAACCAACAGGTTATGGTGGATACCCTGGAAGTGTCGGTGATTGGAAGAACCCTGAAACTTTTGAATATTGTGGATGAAGTCATGAAGCTACGAGTTCAGGTGGTTGCCCTCCTTTGGAGTGGTTGTACTGCTGGGAATGTGCGTTCGGGGTATAGGTAATACTGGAAACGATGGGCTGCGTGTCCGGTGAGACTTTTGTCGGACAATGGTAGAGAGTTCGACGGTGAGTTTAGACAGGGTTTGACAACGATGGCACGTTCAATGGAACTACTGCTGCTTTTGCTCACTATCAAAACGGGGTTGAGCGAAGAGGAGGAACCTGGAAGAGAGCTTTTGAAAAGGCTGTTGAATCTTCGGCTCCGACGTCATGTTGTGAAGTCGACGAACTAATCGATCAAGTGAATTTTGCATTGAATTCTTTACCTTGTGTTGATGGCTATGGCTCAGCGCGTGTTTTGGGAAAGAGGCACGTCTTCCCGGAAACTTGGAACTCAACACGAGCAGTGATGTGAACAGCTCTGCTTTGGGAGCTGGAGAAACGAAGTCTCTTAGACAGGAACTGCGAAACGCTGCTAGAAAGGCGGGCAGATTGAAGAAAGCGAACAACCACCGCAGTCGACCCAAAAACATTGGGAACCAGGAGCCCTGGTGCGATTGTGGCCACAGGAAGAGAAGGCGTGTTGGCATGGTCCTGGTACGGTTGTTGGTGCTGATGAAAATATGGTTTGCGTGTTTGGGTGTCGAGTACGATGATGTATAAGTGTGCTCCCGAACAGCTTATTAGGCAGGTGAGCCAGGAACAGGAAACCCTTATTAGGATGTTGCCGTCGGAACTTGTTGCGTTGAAGCGAAACATTCAAGGTCGTGGTGCGGGAAACTACGTTGATTTGAGCGGTGAAGGGTATCCCCCCGGGGGGTGAACATGGTCAGGGTGATGATGATCTTGGTGAGGAGAGACGGGGTTCGCAGGTTTTGAGGGAAACAGGTGCTAATAGACCGAGCGGACGATGAGGACAGAAGGGTCAGACAACGGGTTGAGAATGAACAGGCTACCAGGGCTGATGCAGCTGGGATTGGTTCAGCACGAAGCGCCGCCAGCAGACAGATCTGAGGTAGTCATGCAGCAGGTGCGGTCAGGAAGTGGGAGTGAAGAACCACAACAAGAACCAGAAGTTACAGGATCTCCGAGCGCGGGAGTTACACAGACGACGTCTATAAGCCTCCAACCAATGATGAGTGAGAGCATTCCAAGTGATCATGGATCGAGTTCCGTGAAAGAAACACTGGCCGATGAAGTTCTGACGGTGGAGCGCAGACGAGGGCGGAAGGAGGTTTTCAGTCATGAACTGTCACCGTGTCATCAAGCCAGTCTCCGTGCCCGGCGCGCGCGAAAGAATGGCAAAAACTAATAATAGCTAGTGGGGCTATTCGGGTTTTGGGGAAAGAGAGTGAACTGATTCGAGAGGACATGCGCTTGAAGAATAGAATTCTGAAGTCACGTTTTGTTATCGCAAAGGCGGGCGAACTGCCTTTGAGAGATGACACTGAATTAAAAGCTAGGTGGTGTACCAGAGGCTTTTTGGACCCGGACCTTTTGCGTTTGGACACTGAGCACCAACATTAAGTTCAGAGGGTTGTGTGATTTTGGTTTGCAGTGTATCGCTAGCCACACATGGAAACTTCAGGTTTGTGATGTAGAAGGGGCTTTTCTTCGTGGGGACACCTTGGAACGAAAGGTCGGGCGCGTGTTGATCGAGCAACCTCCTGAAGGGATTGAAGGACTTGAGAAAGGAGTCTTGTTAATGGAAGCAATCAAGGCCGTGCACGGTCTGGCTGATGCTCCTCTTGCGTGGTATCAGTCCTTCTCAAAACGTTTGTTGCAGTTGGGTTGCAAACAGTTGAAACTGGATGGTGTGTGTACCACTTCTACTCCAATGATGATGATAGACATCTGAGTGGAGTGATTGCGTTGCGTGCTGATGACATGTGTTTGGGAGGTGATCATGAGTTTGAGGAAAGAATCATCCATCCTCTGAAGAAGATCTATCCTTTCAAACATTGGCATGTTGGAACAGGAACATTTCTTGGTCGTCGAGTTGAGCAAATGTCAAGCAGTGACATTCACATCACTCAAAGGGAGTATGCTGATCAGTTGAAGGGTATCAAACTGACGCCCGAGAGAAAGAAACAGAAAGATGCTCCTACAAGTGATGTAGAAAAGAAAGAAATGCGTGCAGTGCTTGGTGTTCGTTGCTACAACAGTGCGTGACAAAGTCGGTTGTTGCAGACTTGGTTGATGTGAACAAGTTGGTTGAAGCTGCAATCGAACATGCAATGATGACAATCAAGATTAGGAGTATTTCTCCTAAGGGGATATGCTTTCTTGTTATGTTTACTGCAACTGCCAAAAAGATCATGAATGATGTTTGGGCGCCAATGTCCTTACTAAGGCGGAAGACTTATGAACAAGGTCGTCGAACACCTTCCAGACTCGGAGCTGAGTTGATCGCCTTGTCTCGAGCCTTGGCAGAAGCTAGGTGGATGAGAAGCATGTGGTTGGAGACGATGTATGACGACTATGATCCCATCAAGAACGATGAGTTCGAGAAGAAGACTCCACTAGTTGCAGTCGTGGACCGCAAGCCACTCTTCGATCGCGCCAGATCGAGCACAGCAACAATCAAAGACAAACGACATGCTATCGAGATGCACATCGTACGTGATGAACTGGACACACGCAACATACATCTTAGGTGGGTGGCGACGTATCAGCTGTTAGGGGATATATCCTCACGAAGAGGGGTGTTCGTGTGGATTTGTTGATGTGGTTTTTGCAGTGGGGAAGCTTCGTTATTGTTGAAGACGAATCCATTCAGCCAACAAAACAAAGTGAAGTATCAAACTGTTTTGGGTGTGTGGTTTGTTGCTTGGTTTTGGTGTCGGTTGCCTTCACTTTGTGTTAGGTTAGCATGGTTAGTGGACGAACTTGGATGACGCCGCTCGAGATCAAAGGTCCCCCCCATGTCATCGTAGATCAGTGCTGACCTTGTCAAATGGTGGAAAAATGTCGAGCTTGCTACAGGTTTGTTGTCGGAGCTTTGACCTGTGAGAACTCGGACCATTGAAAGTAGGGGGCAAGGGGGCTGGATAGAGAGAGTCATGTGGGGTTTGATTATATGATTTGTCCGCCTACTTACTGCACGTAGGAGTGGAGAGAAGTGTTTTGCATAAACGTGTGTTAGTCTATATGTTTGAAAAAGCAATCAGTGGCCCTACAGATTTCATAGTGACTGGAACCAGCCAAAGGCTAAGGGCACTCCTTGGACGGCAAGGTGTGAACGTCCCTGGAGTGGCTTCCCAGTCCGGTCCGCCGAGCAGAGCCCACAGTAAGGGACACAGGTGGGTGGTCCAAGCCCAGTATTGGAGTGGATCCACTCCAGCCACCAGTTTCGACCATGTCCTGTGTGGGTTGACCTCCTTCAGTGGCTGAAACCCGGCACCGCTTTCGGCATTGCCCAGCTCGTGCCACCCTAGCTAAACAGCTAGATGTCGCCGCTTCCATGGTCGAGGTCACTTCCAGTCCGGGGTGAAGAATCATCATGAGATAACCATCAATGACATCAACAGTATAGATGTACTCAATACCTCAGACGGAAGCTTCGACGTGCTTGGATCCTCTTCTTCCCCAAACCGTTCAACGATTTCCTTCGATCCCACCCGTGTTTTCCACCCGGCACGGATTTGCGCTACGCCACTACCCCGGAGGACCTCGACGTGGGATGAACCATGGGGAATGGGTGGGGCACGAGTTGTCTCCTCGATCTGCGCTACTCGAGGCACACCTGTGAGCTGCCCTGTATGTTCTACATGTTAGGCCGCCTCGCGGGTCGGAGGATGAGGGTTGCTTGGAGCTTTGAAGGGGTGTTTTGGCTCCGGGGCGAAGGCCTTCGTGTTTTCTGCGATAAACCGAGCTCACGCGACCCTGTGTGATGGGGGATGCCATGGGGTCTTGTTCTGTTTGGGAAAGGGGTTCCACGTACCAGATACCTTTACTTGTTGGTGAATTCAAGGGCCGTACTGAGTACTGCCTACTGTTTACTTCAAAGTGACCATGCTTCGTTGTGCTATGCTTCCTGCTTTCTTGCTGCCTCACTTTTCGTTTCCAGCTGAGGAGCATGTTGATGGATACCTGTCTATCGGCGTCTATGGTGTGTTCGCCGCTCTATCCGCCGCCACTCCGGTCGCCGCTGGCCTGCAACCAGCGCAACCAGGGTGCAGGGAGGCTCCATTGTATGGCCATCCTGCTTGGGCGCCCAGGCCTTTGTGAGATGGCCCCTGTTCGTGGCCAGCACCATGTGCATCCGACAAATCTACGTCTCCTTTCAGGAGCCGGACATGACATGACTGTGAAGGTCGGTGTTTGAGACCGTGTGGCTGGAGGCTGAGGAACCAACCCACAATAATATCAGGATCTCTTCTTTGACTCCAACGTCACATGATTAGAGCTCCCAGGATTCCCAGGATCATGATCCAAAACGTTCCAGGGCATCTGGTTGAGCAAGCCACGGTCTGATGAGAAAGTGCTGATTTGACTGGGAGTGGACTTGTTGAAAATTATCAAGGAGGGTAGAAGATGGATGAGAGTAGCAGTAGCAGAACAGGTGGTGGTGGTGGTGGTGGTATTGGTCATTTTGATAATTGATCATACAGTAGGTGTTCTTGCCGTCCTTTGCGGGCACCCCCTAGACCGCGTTTTTCCCGGGAGCAAAGCCTTTCCAGTCTCAGACGGGCAGCTGAAACGAGCCGTGCAGCTCCTCTGAACATCGGGACCGGGGGCTCCGAGGGTACAGTATCAACAGAAGCTGGGGGACCAACACCACTGAGGGCAACCTGGTACCCGGCTTGGTTGGACTCAGGGTCAGCTCAGGGTGCCCAAGTTTTGGTCTTGGCCTCAGGGTGTTGGCTTCTTCAAGTCGGGGTGTTGCCCGAGGTGGGTCCAACCTCGACCGGCAGATGTCTTCTCCCCCCTTCTTTCGGCCGACAAAACGGCCCAGTGGTTCTCCCCCATTACCACCGCCAGGACCTTGAGAATGGCGTTGAAACCCTTTATCCGGCCTATCCCATGCACCTTGGTCGAACTGATTGTGTGGGAAAGGAATGGCCATTACCCGGTTTTCGGTGATCGGATTACCTATAATGTCCTATTACCTGTAACAGTTGGCCTGCTTCTTCTGATTCTTCTGATTCCCAAATTGGGGAGTAGCTAACACCTTCACGGACGTCTGCTCGTATGTCCGATTTGACCTGTAACAGATTGGGTTACCCCCTGCAAAACTCACATGGACCCTGAAAACCACTGGTGCAGCTAGAGGAAAACAGCCGGACTCCGGGTCGCATTCGACCCTTTTCCATGTGAGATTTCGGGAGCGTAATGAGTCCATCAGCCTTGGTCTTCCACCCGGACCCTCCCCGAGTCGGACACGCCGTGGGCTGCGAGCGCCCCAAAACCACGACGCCCAACGGCCAAAACACGTGTTCAACACACGAGACGCGAAGCATGTGTTTGAACCAGACGGGTGGAATGGGTCTTGTTATTTTTGGGAAAACACCGCTTTTCTCGGACGACATGAGCGTCCAGGAGTATGAGTTATGAGTCAGGACATCCGATAAGTATCAGTAATTCCGGCAAAAGTTCCCAGAGTCACATCAAGAAGTGATCACACTTGTGGAGACAAGTCTTCAAAAACTAGGACAGAGACAAAGTAACACATCAAACAGGAACCTGGAGAAGGTCATTTTACAAAGGAGTACATTTTTTTGGTTGCCGCATGAAGTTGATTGTGGAGACATGTTTTTTGATCTATAGAGGACAATGCTTCTTCACACAGTTGAGCATGCTAACTTGATCCCTTGTTCCACCTTCATGTCAACTGCCAATGCAAAACACATGGATCAAGATTTAACATGTTTATGGTCGAAGCTGACACATCTCAGAATCCACTCTTCAAGCCCCAGGTTTTGTTATGTTTGTTTTGTACATTTGCAGCTTAGCATGTTTCAGAGTCTGTTTACTTGCTGGTTGACCGCGTCAACGACTTGTTTGCTGACTTACAAGAAACAGAGTCAAGGGACAGTCAAAGGTGACGCGCTCTGTGTTGAGCAGGTTCAACCAGCAGTATTTGTGCTTGTGTTTCCTTCTCCTCTCCTTAACCTCCCATCTTTTTCTTCTTCAAGAGATTTCAGTTCCAGAGAAGCTCAGTTCCCGGCGCCTTTCAAAGATGGAAAAGGAGAGATGTTTGGAGACCGGTACTTAGGCCCTCTCCGTTTCGAAGACGATGTATCAATATGGAAAAACAGCAACCATTGTCCCACCACCACCAACAACAACAGCAACAACAGTAACAGCAGCAGCAACAGCAGCAGCAACAGCAACAGCACCAGCAGCAACAATAACAGCAGCAGCAGCAGCAGCAAGAGCAACAGCAACAGCAACAGCAACAGCAACAGCAACATCAGCAGCAACAGCAACAGCAACAGCAACAGCAACAGCAACAGCAGCAGCAACAACAGCAGCAGCAGCAGCAACAGCAACAGCAGCAACAGCAGCAACAGCAGCAGCAGCAGCAGCAACAGCAGCAACAGCAACAACAGCAACAGCAACAGCAACAGCAACAGCTTCTTTCTTCTCACGCACTCAGGGAGAGAGTAGCGCCGCCCTTCGGTCAATGCCTTGTTGACCGGACTCCAGGATCATATGATCGGAGATCGTTTGGATGTCACAAGCAATTAAATTTATCACCTGACCTCGGGAAACGTGTAGAGTCAAGGTGAAAGCGACCTAAAGTCAGTGGCCCAAGGTTCCAGGGGCACTTCAACCATCCTCTAGCTACAAGTGATCAGCACCGGAAAAGAAAACCGGAAAAGCTATCACAGCACTTCAAAATTCGCTAAAGGAAAACAAAAAAACAGTCAAACAAATGACTTTTTCCCCCCCTCTCAGGAGCGGCTGCAGGTCCGCACGGCAGCCGCAGGCTCACTCATCAGCAAGGGGCGCAGGTCCCGCAGCCAAGGCGCGGGTGATGGAGGCATCAGCGTCTTGCAGGCGCTGAAGTAATACACCCAAGGCACTGTCCTCTTCCAATGGTTGGCTCGGGGCAACTTCCTGCACTGCATGAGATTGAGGCCAAGTGGCGGTATCACTCCTGGAACTATTCTCCAAGGCACGGCCCTCAGAATCATCTCTCAAAGGCAAACCAAGCATGGGTCCAGGTGCATCCAAGTCCAAGCTAGGATGCGCAGCTGTCAGCCCCTCAAGAAAAGGCCGAGGCTCCCAAGACGCGTCCTCCTCAGGTGAGGCCGTGATGGCCTGGTCATGGGTGGGCACAGGGCAAGTAGTTCCAAGCGTCTCATGACCTAGGTTCAAAGGGACGGAGGAAGGAGTCAATCCTTGCATACCATCTGCTTCCGAGTCTTCTAAATCCAGGTCCTGACATGGCAGGGTCCAGAACAGGACACCTCGGGTGTGAAAGTACTCTGGGATGACCATGATTTCCTGAGGTCGTTCATTGTCATCACATAGCCACTTCTTTCCAGTAATGGGATCTAGCAAAAGAGCGCGAAAGTGCCCCTGAAGCGAATTCCCCAAATGAGCCACCACTGCCACAACACGATGAGAGACCCAGCTGCGGGCCAGACCATCGCGAAGGAAGATCGGCAGCGAAAAGGGCTCCATGAACTCCACGTGATGAAACTGACCTAACAGCCGAGTCGAGTCAATCAAACGATCCAAAAAGAAGACTTTCAAGCCACCATGATGTGTGAACGCTGTTGCCATCGAATGGCACTCCAGCCATGGAATCAGGAGATCAGGCAGGTCAATTTTTCCGCATCTAGTTCGTAGAGGTGGACCAGCGCTACAGGCTGAAAATCACTGCCAGCTTCATAGCAGTGACAGCCTTCTGAGTTCTCAAAGCGTCGCTCCCAAGCTTGAGAGATCTGGGTAGTACGACACCAAGCCAGGACCTCACTCACAAACTCGGCGATGTCCCTCTGTTCCCCAGAGGGTGTCCCCTGAAAGAGATCTGTCAAAGCCGGATGGCGATGCAGAGCAATTGTCTCATCCACCCTTGTGGATCGAAGCAGCCCCTGTGTGACGGTCCAAATGTGACCATAGGTATATTCATTGAAGGAGGCTGAGTGCACCAAGGTCCAAAGCAGGGATATCAAGCCCGCATTGGCGTAGCACCAGTTGGAGTCATTGGTGCAAGCCAAGTTGCACAGATCCTCCATCCATTTCCTCTTCATTTCCTCCCCCCTTGAGGTCGCAGGACCATCTGAATGTCTTGTGCCAGCTTGGACCTCTGGAGTCCATGTTGCTTCAGGCGTGCACCGATCAGATGCCACAGGGCTGATCCCGTCAACTGGCGTAAGAGGCTCGAGAGGGAATCGTTGCGCATGGATATCTGCAATTTCCAAGGAACGACCTCGCTCCGACTCTGCTGGGAGGCCATCGCGAAAAAGCGGACACAGTTGGTCGGTTCCAAGAATGCTTGCTGAAGGATGCCCAAGTGTGTCTCCATGCTGGACCAGGAGATGGGAGCCGTCTGACTGATGACCAGGCGCTTGTGCTGGTGGTGCCATATGAGATGCGGGAAGCTGGAGTCTTCCAGGATGGTCAGGCTCTTGATCGCCGCTTGCTTGGTGGAGTCGTCGGAAAGCTGGAGTTTGAGTTTCTGGAACCTGTTGGTCAACTCGTTGATCACAGCCTGAATCAAGTAGGAGCGCAGGGGGATCATGGCTTGGTCGGCAGGAGGGTCGTGCCATTGCTTTGCTGTGCGAAGCAGGAGTGGCAAGACTCCGGAGTTCCCCTGTTGGAAGAACAGCACAAACGAGTCCTGCATAGAGACCGAGTTGAGGGAGTCCTCGTGCCTGATCAGAAGTTGCCCCATCAACCTGCATAATTTCATGACCTGACCACTCTCTTCGCTTCTCGTGGATGAGGTCGAGCTGCTGTGAGGAGAGGATGGCCTCTGATGTTTCCTCCGTGGCTGGGACTGAAGGGCCACTTCTCGCTTTTGGCGCTTCTCCTGAGGAAGGTCCTGCTCCAGCTCTTCCGGTGATGCGAGCATATTTAAGAATGCCAGGCCCACCTGACTCAGCCTGTCTCCTTCTTGAACTGCCATCACCTCGTCCATCCTGATGATCAGGGCGAAGCCACGTCAAAGCACACCCAAGGTTGAGGAGTGGTGCACACTTGTGTGTGAGAAGAGCCCACACACTGTCGTCCTCTAAGGCATAGTCCTTGAGAGTTGTATGGCACCAAGGGCATGGAAGTGGATCACACAAGGCAGGCCGTTGAGCCAAGAGAAAACGGTAGAGCACATGGAGAAGGAAGCCATTGTGGCCACTCTGAGATCGATGCTGTTGAAGAAGATGTTCAAACAGTTGAATGCTGGTCTCAAAGTTGCGAGAGCACAATGCACATGTGGTGCTGAGGATCTGGCTGTCGCGAAGAAGGAATTCCCAGGAGTTCTCACCCGGACACTGAAGCCATGGAGCAAGAGCAGGAACCTGTGCATGCAGAGCGGCATGGAGCTGGATCAACTTGTGCAGGGTGTCTGGAGAGATGGTCCAAGGAAGAATGAGCTTCCGATGTCTGGGGTCCAGCAAGTATTGTAGCATGGCCAGTTGTCGATAAGCGGGACATCTGTGAGATCTTGGCTGAGGGATCCTGCATGGTTTGCAAATGCATGTCATCTTGGCCTCATCCACCAAATTGCTCATGAGATCTGCCTCTCTGTAGAATCCCCCGTGATGGCATTGAAGATGCCGTACCAAGTCGGCCGTTCGAGAGTAGGCTTGACCACAGAAGGAACACATCATGGTCAATTGGTGTCTCATAGCTGACTCACGGACGGCCTCCCCCCATTTGCCAGCCTGGATCAGGGGCATGAAGTAGTCATCGCTGCGGAGAACCGTGCCAAGTTCCTGGTCACCGAGTGGATCCAGCTGATCACAAGACCCACGTTCAATGTGCCGTCTGAGTTCCCAGAGCTCCCCAAAATGGCTGCCACAATGGCGACACACCGTGGTCCCATGGATCGTGTCTCGAGAGCAACAGAACC